AGACTGCGGTGCCCTCACAGCGGAGAGGGCGGGCAGCAGCAACGCCCCGGGTTGTGGCCTCCTGGAGCATCCCGAGGAGAGAAGCACTTGCCAGGCTTTGCAAAGAGGCCATCTCTGTCCCTGCACCCGTCTCTTATCTCCTGCTCCCCACCCCTCTGAATCACGGAGCAGGGATTGTTTCCATCTGTGCTCCTCACATGATGAGGTACAGGCTCCTTTTCCCCACCCAGCATTCAATTCAGCCTAAATGGATCAACCAGTTCAAACTGAACTGCCCCGTACCCCTCAGGCTTGTGCTGTCACCCCTAGGGAAAGGCAATGGCTTTCAGCTGGGGTGAAAGCACTGCATTTTGTCACAGCAGCACCTCAGTTGTTAGTTACAGAAAGACTTTCTAGCCCTTTATATCATGGCAGGCAGGTAGACACCTCTCTCTTACACCCCCTCAGCTGCATCCAAGGGCAGGCCTGTGCTGCTGTCCAGGACCAGCCACGCCTGTCTCACCACTTACCTGGCTGCTGTTTGTCTTTAACTTGGTACAGGAACCACCACCTTGGCGCAGCATGAAAGTGCCTAATCAGCTGGCATGAGGGAGCGATGGTGAAGCCAATCCCAGACTTCAAAGAAGTTTCTGCTTTTATCCCTACCTCAGCCGGAACACAGAGATCCATTTCACCAGCTGCTTTAGGTATTTCAGACCAGAACAAGGGTCTGCCTCAGTTTCAGGTACACCCCACCACGTTAAACCTATCTAGCCCGAAGGAGGCAACAGTAGCTTGAGTGTTTTCCTGCAAGGTAAAGTACAGTTCTCTGGGCAGGGGAGAGAAACCTACAAAGACAAACCTATGTACAGATAAATTAACTGAAGTAGTTTAGTAAACAGACTATTTGTTTAAACAAGACTTTATTGAAGACAGTTTAGAAGTTTATGTACAAAACAACATTCCCACCCCCATATCAGGATGTTAGTCACTCACTGGGAACAAAGCAAGTGCCTGGTGTGTGCTGGCAACCGGGGGATGCTCAGAGGTTGCAGAGGAATTTATAGAAGTACCAAATTCACATAGATTAGAGCTGGGCAATATCAGCCTTGGCTCAGCTAGAACTGAAGGACCTTTTTCAGAGACATGGTCTCCAGCAGACTGAACACACTGGGATCTGGCAGCCTGCACTGGCCTTACTCTGAGATCAGGTCATTTACCTCTACAGAGAGCAAGAGGCTTACTCTGGGTTTGGAAGTGAAGAGGAAGCAGCCCCTGGAGTTACCTTGCAGCTTTTAATCTATTTTCGATGGTTCCAGGAGATACCCATCACTAAGAGCACAGCAGTATTTGCAGGAAGCATTAGAACAGAGCAGTAGTAATACAAAGTAAAAAAAAAGTCAGCCACCTCACTTTCCAAATACACCTAGAGAGAGGCTGGATATCAGACTGGCTATTTCAACTAGCGTGTAAGAAAATCCTAGAGACACAGACATTAGTGGCACACGTTAGACAAGTGACTGACACGCTGTTTCTGTAGCAGAGTGTGCTCTTCTACCACGGTAGAGTTTCCCCTTGCCAGTCCAGGAAGGAACCATTTTCTTTTTCACCAAGACGATCCAGAACAGAGAGAATACCTGGGATAGCCTCTTGCACCTGCATGGGAGCCTAAAGCAAACCAAGCTTAGATTAGTACTGAGAATATACAATGGAAGAGAATGAATGCATTAAGAAGTTACTAGAATTGAGTGGGATGTATTTCCATGTTTCACAGTGTACATCTACTGTACAGTGTGTTCTTGCTCAAGGGCTGGGACAACAAGGCAGTCTTACTTTTACATTTCTAGAGAAGTCACTTACCATGTTTCCACCCATGTCTGTCTGAAGCCAGCCTGGATGTAAAGAAATGCAGAGAATTCCATCCGATTTCAAGTCTGCAGCAAGACACCTGGTGATCATGTTCAGTGCAGTCTGCAAGAGCGGAAACCAGCTATTAGTGTGCTCGTTTTACAAAGCCAAGCTAATGAGCAACTCCCTTCCACTGCGCTGTCTCCTAACGAATGAAGGGGCAATAACAACATCACAGTAACTTATCCAGACTCAGTGGGCACCTCATTCTCTGAGATATCTCCTAGGAGAAGCATTGTGAAAGCTCTATCGCCATAAGCTTACTGCCCAAAGATGAAACTAAGTTATGGTGGGAGATGAAGTAGCATTTGAAACTCCTAAGGAGCTGTGGGGAAAATAATATTGACATAAGGACTCTGTTTTTCTGCACTAATCACTACACAAACATTCTGGTTTTTACTTCTGAACAGGGAAAACAAGCATATTAACAGCTTATGAGTAGGTGGTGTAGGAGAAACTGTATGTCTAATCTTGACTACTCATACAAACTCAATCTCTGGACATGACAAAGCCAAAAAAATCCACCTCTCACTAACTAGCATTACCAGGTACTGGTCAGCACACCTTTTGTTGAGTTTTATGCTTGCTATTTTGCTTGGACTGGAGAGGAACACAGCCAATGGGACACACACTTGATGGCATCAGTTAAGCTGGTCTTTAACTCACAGGCCTGCCCTCACCCAGTGAGCACAGCCCAGGGAAGCCTACAAACCTTCGCTATCCTGTAGGGATAGACCTTGAGGAACATCTCATTTGCCTGGACAAGTTGCATGGAGGCAGCAAGAGAGGACATGTTGATAATAGCAGCTCTATGGCAGCCCATTCCTGTGCTGAGCTGGGCTGCCTTCCTCAGAAGGGGTAGAAACGCCTGTGAAAACAAGAGTTTGATTTGGTCAGCTTGCAAGCTGGACTCTCAGGTTCTGCTCTATGAAGAATTGCAGTACAGCACTATGCCACCAGCACAGAACAGTGATGGCTCCCCAAGCAAGCTGACCATAGGCAAACTTTCCCATATCAAACACCCTCAGTCTCTGCTGCCCACCTCCTAGCCCACCAAGGTGACAAGCACTTGGGTTACATGCCTAGCTCACTAGTGGAAAAGCCTCTTATGGTACCATAGATAAAGCATTTTCCTCCCAGTTCTTACCTTGGTGACCATCAGCTGGGCAACTGTATTGGTTTCATAAGTGGTGAGCATTGTCTCTGCTGTGACTTCTTCCAAGGAAGCAAGCACATTGATGCCAGCGTTGTTAATGAGGCAGTTCAGACCTTTGTCTCCCACAATTTCTTCCACTTCCTTGACTACTTTCTTGATGCTGTTTTCACAGACCACATCTGCACAGAGGAGCCAAGAATAAGCCACAGTGAGCTGCGGGGTTCAAATGCCCTCTGTCCCTATACGACACATGCTAAACCAAAGCTACTGCATCAGCCTGAATGGGGACAGTTGCTTAGCTCACAGAGATTACAATGCACACAAGCCCTCACATACATTATGTTTCCCCAGTGTTATCTCGAGATGAAAGTGATCCTTTTCAGCTGCTGGAGGTCACATACAGCTACTGATCACCCAAGAGAGCAGTTTCTTCAGACTCACTCACCTGACTTGGTTGAACATACTTGTGTAGAGGCCCTTTACTCACCCAGTTGGAGGAGCTTGATATTGCTGTATTCCTTGCTAAGCTGCTGGAGTTCCTAAGACGAAGAAATTATTTGTGTTATCTTTATATATACATATTACTTATATTACTGCCTATTACACAGAACAGTTTGAGAGCTGCACCTCCAGAACTGTAACTGCCATTTCTTTCCAGATTTGGGCAGAAGGCAGCGACACCACTTTGTTTTCCAACCTGCTGAGCAGATTTCCTGACAGCAAGATCAGCAGCCCAAGAACCTGGGCTCTTCAAGATACCAGCACGCCAGATCACAGAGTTAGTTCTCCATGTGTACAGCTTGAGGTATGGTTGTGGTGTAACCAAACATTTTCAACCAAACAGCGACCATTACCAGTAGCACAGCAGACCCAGTGCTCAGACTGCATCCCAAGCCAGTAATTCCCCATTTCTGTAAGAAAAGGGTAATTCTCCTGAATCTCAGCTGGTGTTAGACATCAGCTCAGGGCAACAGGAATGCTTAAGAAAAGCCATTTGGAATTATGGTTTGCAGGAAAAGTTTCCTAGCCATTTTCCCATGGAAATTCTCTTTTTTCCCAGAATTCTCATTAGCTTCAACTCTTGAATTTGGAAGTAAATCACACATGAAACTGGTTACATGCACAGCAACTGTCCACAAGAACAATTCTCTCTCTGCCAGATAGCTATAATTCAGTTACCTGTCTACTACCTCCCTGAAGAATGAGCACTCTACAGATGTTGCTGCTGGACAAAGTATGCCCAAATGGGATTTATAGCTCCAGCTGGAATACTTTGGTTTCTGTGCCATGTAGCCAAGTGGGAAGTGTGGCCAGATTTAACAGATGGATTACATACTCCCAGCCACGTTTGGGAGACCGAGCAACCTTGGACAAACATTCCAGCTCAAGCAAATCCATTTCCTTAGGAGCCCTTTGGGAATAGGGGTCGGGAGGGCCGATTTTGAACGAATACTTCTTTGCCACTTGGAGACACTTAGGGACTCTGTGTCCCTTGTCAAGCTATAATGCATTACCTCTTTTATCTCAGTTCATACTCTCCAGGATCCTCTCCAGGCTTCTTTAGAAAGTTTGTTCTCCCACTGAGGACAATTACAACTGCAGTTAAGGCTATTAAGGGGAGGGGGAAGGAAGGGGAATAAGTCAAAAGCACAAAACCAGAAGACATTCCTTCTGTTGGACAGGGCTTAATGGGACAGTCTTCAACAGATTAAAGGCCCAGAACACACTATCTTGTTTATCGATAGTCAGACATGAAATAGTTCTGCCATGTCAAGGCCTGCAATAATTATATGGGTTTGGACTGTCCACTGGACTTTAGTTTGACAGGATCACTTACTCGATAATGAACTCCAGAAGTGCCCTGACATCTCAAGGTTTATTCATTTATTTATAGTCAGATTGCTTTACTCTCTGACAGAAACAAGCTACTAACTTTTGCTAAAAGGCCAGAGATGGTTTGTGTAGTGACAGCAGCTGAGAGGCTTCTGAAGTGAGTAAAAGCAATATGTTCAATTAAGAACTCCATACACTAACATTAAGCATTCTCCAGAACATAAACAGCATGAAATTACAACTCCTGCATGCAAATCAGGTTTAAAAATTCAATGTTTTTTTCCATTTAATTAGTTACTTAGTTAACAAGTGATTCCCACTTCAGTGGTTTAAGTTTCTCAGAAGCAGCTCCCAGGCATAAAGCTAACTGAGACAGCTTTGGTCTTCAAGAATGTTACTCCACCTGATATAAACATAAGCTGAAAAATCCAGTTAGGAAACCTAAAAATTGCAGAAAAGCCCATTCTTTTTTTGTGACTAGAAGGAATGTGTGGAAAGGAGGACTGAGACAAATTCATGGCAGCACAATCAGATACAGCTATTTCAAGCCATATGTGCTGCTCCTCCTTTTCCCCCAGCCCAAGTAGTTTTAATGGAAGAGATCAAAAGCCTCCTGTGCCCAGAGAGCTCTGAAAATATTCCTGCAATGCACACAAGTACTGGTTATTGACTCCCCACTGAAGGGATAAGCTTTGCTGAAACTCACTGTGGTCATCTGGCAAGTGCCTTGCTCTCCCTCCATTGAAACCAAACCAAAACAAAGCAAGCCCACGAAAACAACCAACCAACCACCACCACAACAAAATCCAAACCTATGCCACCAAAGTTGCCTGTGGGTTTTTTGCAGCAGACTTGCTCTCACTCTTTTTATGCCAACGTGCTAATGCAGAGGCACTGCACCCAGGACAGCCAGGTTAAATCCTGGGGAAGAGCTCAGGGGCTCACAGGGCCCATGGTGGCAATGCCCACACAGGAATAAGTGAGCTCATCGGTGTTTGAAGCGCAGTTTGCATTTTAATGTCAGTTTACACAGTTTCATTTCAAGACAGAAGGTACAGTCAACATATTCCAGGCTAAGTAATTTTTAGTGAGCATACTGTGATAGCAAATTTTAAAGTAAACAAGACAAACAAACAGAACCCCACAACACAACCCCTTAACACTGTGTTTAGCACAGTAGCTCTAGGAGTGCTCCACACCTGAATGGTTACCCCTGAGAATCAGCTCTTAGGGTTTCCAAGAAAAATTTAAACTCTGATTAGCATCTGTTGTTTCCTGCTTGCTGATTTTAATTACGATTAACAAAGAGTCAGCCAACTCCAATCTAAACAAGATCCTCTGGCACTCAAGGCTGCAGATACCGATTCAGCAGTACACAGGATATTTCTTGTTAGATTTCAACCAGGAATGTTGTGCTGTCTTTGTCATGTAGCAAGATTTACTTTGCCTTCTTTATGAAAGCATTATTCACTCCAGTTACAACTCTTGGAAAGGACCTGACCGTACTGGGCCAGTTGGAAGTAATCAAACCAAACACAGCCTGTAGGCAGGCAAAAAGGGTACTTGGGTGTCCTTTCACATCATCCTGCTCAAACTCAGGACAAAGATGTATCATATTTGCCTGCATTTCCCTGAGATGGGCTACTCAGTATCACAGTGTACAGCCAACTTACTGTTTGGTTGTGTAATAGCTTACACCAAGCTGCTGCAAACTGCCCCGAATCCACGAGATCCAGGCCTTAACGCTGTAGGAAGTGCAAAACAATTCCAGAAAAAAAAGCCAAACCAAAACAAATAAAACCCCACTGCAATAACCCAAAATTAGAAAGACTTCAAGAATGCCCCCTTTGCCTGATACAACACATCTATCTTGCTAGAGTGCTGCTCCAGAGATCACCCAGCTGCTCTTCCCCATAGCAGCCCACATGGCTAAAATATGTAGCGAAGAACAAAACAAAAACAAAACCTGACAGAGACAGTGTGCAGAAGCACTTCAGTGAGAGCTTTGTGTCTGAGGAGGGAACAGACACATCGCTGTTAGTAACGCTATCTCCTGCTTCAGAGGAAGGGAAGCAGCACATTAAGCCCTGGACGATTTCCAGAGCCCAGGAGGGACTGAACGCTTTCTTGTTCACCTGGGAACAGGGGAAAGCAGGAGGAACAAGAGATGCTCCTGTCCTCAGGGCTCACATTCAGCTCTCAGCACAGCCTAGCAGAGCACAGGATGCAGAGATTTACAGCATGGCCATTGGGATCCCTTCAGCTACCTGGCTTCCCCAGAAAGCCATCTCCTCCTTCCATACCAAAGTCTTAGACTTTGGGTCAATGTTTTTTCCATTTGATGGGGAAGCAGGATGGGGAAAGAAAGCAAGAAAGAAAAGCAAGAGAGAGGAGGAATTACAGATGGGTCCTTGAGCCCATCCAGGCTGCCTAATAACTGCACTGAAAGCCATCTCCTCCTTCCATACCAAAGTCTTAGACTTTGGGTCAATGTTTTTTCCATTTGATGGGGAAAGAAAGCAAGAAAGAAAAGCAGGAGATTACAGATGGGTCTTTGAGCCCATCCAGGCTGCCTAAAAACTGCACTGTGGTTTTGCCCATCTGGAGTGCAAAGACAGGACGTCAGGATTACTTCACAAGAGATTTGTAGCTGATTCCACTCTCAGTGCTGGAGCAGCCCAAGTAAAGGCAGAATCCAAATGTGGCTGAGGGAGCCCAGTGCGGTACTTTTCAAGGAGGGGCAGCGGTTATCTAGATGCGCCTGCAGGCCTGCTGCATCTTATCGTGTGATCTACAGCCCATTTGTTAGGCAAATGTTCTGTGGAGGCCACCTAGGAGCTATTCAGCGCAAGAACTCCAGTTATCACAACTCCTGCCAGCACAGACTCACATGCAAAACCTTGCAGCTGCTCAGCATTATCCCAGGGTTAGCAAGTCGCGGGAGATGTGCCGCTTTCCACGGTAAGTGGAGGAAAGCAAAGTCATTTTATCCAGCACCTCTTTCTAAAGCCAGGTCTTTGGGTGTTCCTGTCTGCCCACTGTTTGGAGGACTCCGAGGTACGCAGTGATATGTGTAACAGCACAGGCTCTGCCAAGGGATTCTGTGAATAACTCACAGCTACCGGGGAATGGCTCCCGATTCTTGCCCCCAAGATGGGCGCTGGATTTCCCAGTAGCTGAGTGTATTTAATCACTTTTCCTCTGAAAACTGGAAGATAATTTTTAAAGGGCTTTGCATTTAAGCTCTTCCCATCTTTTTTTCCCCTCCCTACATTCTGCCACAGGAAAATGCTACTCTACCAAGCCAGATGAGAGCAGGATTTAAGAGAACTGTCCGAAGTTGCCGTTCTCCAAGTTCATCCTCTGATCCAGGAGAGGAAGCAGGGGGCAATGCATTCCTATTAAACAGGATTTTTCATATGGTCACTTACCACAGAGCAAAATGAGAGGAAACAACATGAGATGGCTTGAATCACTGTCAAGAGAAAAAAGCAAGCACTGACAGCTCAGGTGTGCAGAGAAAGAACAAGTGACTCAACTTTACAGCCCAGTCTGCACAGTCAACAAACAGGTCTTCGATGGGCAAAGCCCATTTCATGGGCAGTAAGACAAGTCTGCAGTGCCAGGCAGTGCAGGAACCCAAACTCCGGGCTTTCAAGATTTGACTGGTAAGTTAGCAAAGACAAAACGTTTTCTCTCTGAGAGA